CTACCATCCATTTAGAGGAAGGTATAGAGTTCATCAAGAGTTTTGTGTTAGCTGAAGTAAGAATATGAAAAAAAAACTTTAAGAGTCGGAATTTATCTTTACAATACTTTCCAGTAGCTTGTTACCAAGTGCAGAAGATGGACCGAATGGATTTGGATTGGAAAATGTTACAAGCGTCACAAAACGGTCTGATTTAGTTAAATCAAACGGAGAAACCAATGATAAACAATCAAGTGATGCTTCTAGTTTGACTAAGAGATATTGAGAACTATCTAATATAGGGATATTTGGGCAGCAACCATATAGCCTCTCCTATTCAACGGACCTCACTCACTGTCCGAACTGGACTAGGCGACCTTCTGTTCCTAGCTAACTAGGCTCAGTCGACCGCGGCCGGGTATCCTTAACTTTCATCGCAGAAAGGAAATGCTGTTGCATAACAGTTCGCGTTTACTTGAAGAAAAATTAGTTAAAACCTAATAAAAATATGTGTACAAGTTTAACGCCAACACATTCGTTGAATCCACAAGTCTCGGCAGCATGTACATCGGATTTGAAGGTAGAAAACACACGTTCAACTGAAAATGGTCGTAGTATCAACCCCCAACCTAAATTTAAGGTAATATTTTTACTCAACTTGGCTAAGGGTAATTTTTATAAAAAATTCTGCCAAGATGTGGCTAAAATATCCATAATATTCTTTAGATATTGTTGAGAATGCCATCTAGTTACATATGTCTTGAAATTATTTCCGGAAGTTATTTTTTTTGTGTTCTTAAAACGCTGGAACTCCCGAGAGTTTTCGCTCGCATTTTGTGTATTCTGATGAGACAGATTCGCTAATTACTTCAGCAAATTCAAACTCTGCAACTAAAAATACCCAACCCGAAGCTTAAAGCACTGCTATAAATACCCGCTCATCACACCCCAGTTGTGTACTAGTATTTTTTAAGGATTTCTATTTTTGCGCCAACAACTTTCAATATCAAGCAACATTTCCTGCTAAATGAATTGCAAAGGACAGCACTAATGACAAAACAAGCTGCCGCAGCAATAGCAGCAACAACAACAATCGGCTACTCACTGCTGATCAGAGCATCGTTGAAGCACTGAAGCACCAAACGACCAAGTCAAATGGCAGAAGAACAGCGAGGGTGCACAAAATCACTACAGATAATGACGATAAAAGCGATAATGATATTTTTACTGCTTGCAATGCTGAAAGTGAGTAAAGGAAATTGCAAAAGAGATGGCATAAAAAAATAACAGACCCTTGCACACACCTACACCAGACTACACTCGAGTGAGAAAGCGGTAAATATAGCATAACAAGTGAACAAATCAAAGCTATCAACTGCATTGGCCGCAGAGGATTTCCTGTTGCCTGGTTCACCAACTAGCCTAGGTCGACACTGAGTGGCAGGAACGAAAACTATTTGAACAGCAATGTCAATGTGTGGGTAGAATATGCAGCGCCAGGGAAATTGTGCAACGAAGGCTTTAATGCAACCCAATATAAGTTTGTATATTTCTTTATGCATATTAGGGTTGTCTAAATATCTTTTATACATTAGGGTGCCTCAAAAAAATTATATGATTGAAACTAAAATACAAATATAGTTGAACAGTATATGTTGGTATATTTATATATACATATTAGGGTGTTCCATAAAGTTCTAAGTATACTGCTTTTTAAGCGTAACCTCTTAAATGTTTTAAAAGTCGGGACCGAAACATATTGTTTACATTAGGGTGCTCCAAAAATATATAATACTCTACTAAAATAAAAATAGCTACCCCTTAGAATAGAACAAAGGGGCTCATGTTTGGTGAGGGATATTATTTACACCAATGAGCAACATTTAAAATGGTATGAGCTAAAAAAAATGTGTGTATAATATATGCAATTGTACCGATTTAGAGTAATATTTAGTACTACATAAATTAAGTATATCCACATATATTATTTTTTTTCAGTCAGGAACCGACATTGTTATTACTTTACTACCCATTTTAAGCATCTCTAAATCAAAATTTCGTATCTCATATTTTCTACTTGATATAAAGATTAATTTTAAATATCCGATTTAAAATTTCTCCTGTATTTATGGACCACCATACTAAGTTTAGATTAAGTTTGAAAATAAAAAATTTAATTTATTCCATTATTTATGAAGCACCCTAATGTATAGTATATGTATATAATTTTTAAAATTTTGATTAAATTTTATCCTTAAATTTTTTTTTTTTTTCAAAATTCTTAGTGGTCTCTTAATCTATTTTTTAAAAATCTATTTCATGTTCTGAATTGAAAGAGCGTCACGTCACAGGGCATAATGCTTAAAATATTGCTTAAAAATTGTTCCAGGCATGTGGACCACCCTCATGCAAACATATGTATGTTTTTCGCAGCATGTTGGATCCTAGTGTAATTGTTGTACTCGATTTTTTCATAATTTTTGGTTAGAATATATGTTTTAAGTTCTTTACACTTGGCAAGCAAAACCGAAAATTGGCTGACTGCGGCAATCTACACAAACTTCCAGCCTCTCCCAACTACTGCTGCTAAGCTTGTTGACGATGTAAAGCGCTTAAAATCGACCAAAATAAGAGCCTATGATTTTTCGAAATTTTTTACATTTCTCCTTTACTTTTTTTATTACCTCACTTGTAGTTTCTTGTTTTCGAAATGTTTTTTCTTTTCCATTTTTAGTTTTCAGTTGGCGATCTCTGATTTTTGACCAAGTGGCATGCTCGTACATAGGTGCAGCGTCGCATTTTTCATGGTTTTTGGTTATTTTATTTGATTTTTTGGTTTCTTGCTTTTTGTTCCTTTTTTTTTTTCTATGCTCCCTCCTTTACGAAATTATGCTGCTAGCGAATTTGATTGGATTTACGTTAAATTAAATTTTACGCTTGCACAGCAATATTGCCGAGTTGCCACTATGACACTCGGCAAATGTTACCCCTATATGGTATGTTTTATGTATGTATCTACTTATGTAGACATGTCGCTTGAAATTAAACTCGATTGTACGCTTGACATCTGCCGGACATGTTTGAAAATTCTCGAAATTTAATTATTGCAGTTTATGTGTTCGTGCAAATGCACGGAAAATATACTCGTTCATACATTTCTAGTTCGTATGTGTCCGTACTCTGATGATTTTAAGTACCCAGTAAAAATTTAAGGTTGGCAAATATTTTTTTACTGTAATCCCCAAATGGTTCAATAAACTCGAGACATATATTTTTCATTTTATTTTTTCTCGGATCTGTTCTGTCAATATTTGGACTTTCCGAAGAAAGCAATCGCCCAGAAGTGACCAGCTTTGGCCAATAGGAGAGGAATTGTGTTTCATTGAAGCAACACCAGGTCACACACATTAATAGTGACTCGCTACAAGCTTCGTTGAGATGTCCTTATATATACACCTTCTAGTCCAGTCCGGACCTGGCGCCAAGTTATTACTACTTGTTTCGGCCTATGGCGAATAATCTTGCTGAAAATCTCGTTTCAAGACAAACTTGTAAAAATCGACTGGGACTGGAGACGAGGGTTTTATGAGAGTGGCATCATAAAATTATTTTCAATATGGCAACAAGATGTCGAAAGACCTAAATAAATCTTGCTTATCAAAGTTTTTTAATATGCAAATACAAATCCATACTTTATAGTGGCAATCCTTACTTTAAAAAATCAAACAAAACACACTTTTAATTTCCACAAAAGGGGAAAAAAAATATTATTATCAAAATGTTCAGAGCTGACTTTTTGAATATCTAGGTATTGTATCTACTAATTTCCGGATTAAACTTAATGAATCAACCCTATTCCGGCTGTATCGGAACATTAGAACTTCAAATATTACCGAAAGCATCAAGAGTGCCTGTTGATCTTTATTCTGAAAACGTGGTTTCAACAAGAAAGAGGAACAAGATCTCTGATTGGGAACAAAATTAAATTTGTGTCAAAAAGTAAATTACCAAAAACATTACTTTATCTTTGATGATATCTGAAAAAAGATTTATAGTATTTAATTTCAATCTTTTGAAGATAAAAGGAAAATATTTATTAACTGTAAGTTTTTATACGGTTTTCGGCTGACCTATAAGTTCTAGATCTATGAACCTCACTTGGGTTCGGTAAGCGTTGGTCAACAAACTAAAAAATACTAATCAAACGATGCAAATTGTCAAAGTTCTTTGGAAAAAACGGGGTGTAATCATCGTTGCACTTACTCTCTGTTCATCTTTCAAGGCACTTCACTAATATATGAGTATCTTTTGAACCATCTAAGGGTTTTGGCAACGCCAAGAGTATATATTTCTACTCTGTTTGTAAATGAGATCCCCGAAATCGTCTTTATTTTGAGGACAAAAGTAGTCCCAATTAAATTAAAAATTTCGAGAATAGTAGTTAAAATAATAAATGATTTTTACCGAAAGTTTTAATGTAATGAGATACACAGTTTAAATTATTTGATGGATATCTCTTACCTATGATCTAAAGGTTGTTACAATATTTTATTCAGAGCATTAAGAAAGGCATATGCTAACACTAAAAATCGTAAAAGTATGACTGAAACACTTATTGATCTGTGATCTCTATGAATCGCTAAAGCAACTATGTTGTGAAATAGTTTATGTTCAGCAATTAAGTTGCTACCGAAAAGTGTGACTCTGTTAACCTTTAAATGTCTTAATATATTCTGAAGGACTTTCATTTGAACTTGGAGCTTTTTTGAAAAATAAAATTATGAGAGTATAAATAATTTAATATCTAAGATTCGTCAGAACATATAAATTCTGCAACTGTTTTCTTTTCTAAATTCAATACTCCCGCAAACAAGTTTTTGATACTTCAACGAATGTACCATCTTGTTATCATTTTCGGGATTTATAAATGAAACTATACTTTTCGAAAAATAACTTCTTTCTTCTTCTTAATTCTTTTTAATTAAAATTTTATGTATCTCATATATTGCTAGATATCTTACCTCACAGTGTTGCAATGTTTTCAACACCTTCCGAATCTTTTTAATTTGTGTATTGTTGATGTGGTTTTCGCAAGATCATCCACTTGTTGTTGGTGACACTGAAACCCCCTGCTTTTGCTTTTGCAATTGTGGTCTTTCACTCGAGCGCGCTGTTGCTGGTTGCCACTTAAATCCCGCTTGTTGTGGTTTAGCTAATTTGAAAGCAACATGTAAATGAGAACACAATGCCTGAAATGATTGTTCCATAATTTCTGTTACGATTTTATGATGGAAAATTTTGCATGTGCAAATCGATGCATAGATATATCGTATGATTTGTGAGCAGTTATGAAATATTATTTTTATAATTTTAAACTTTAGAGAGAGTTATGTTATGAAACAGGAGAGTTGTATTTTTTAAGTTTATTTATTAAAGAAACGAAAATTTTTAGGTGATGATTTTTAGAGAAGTGTTTTTTTTTAAATTAAATATTAGTTTTAGTGAGCATGATATTTAATTGATTCCTTTTTATGAGATATTTGTGTTCAAATTTAGTGGTTTCGTTGAAAGTGTGCAGAGTTGCATTTACAGAGTTATTTTTTGAAGCCAATTAGGTTTTGTGGGCAATTTTTTGCAAGAGCGTTAGACGAAAGTTGACGAGAGAATTTTTTGTATAGTGTTGTTGCTATAAATGTGTTTAAAAAATGTATTTTCATTTTACAAAAAAAATTTTTTTTATTTATTTGTGTCATTACAAATGACTTAAATATTTACAACTATATTTTTATGAACACGCGGTTGCACATGATTTATTTCTTACGAGTATATGCTTTAATGATATTTATGGTATAGATTATCTTTTTTTAAGTTTTGCTTTTGCAATAATTTAGTGCTTATTTGAATTTATTTTCTGTGTTTTTTATGACATACTGTGCGCACGTTTTTAAATCATTTGATTTATGATTTTTTGTTTGTTTTTATTTTCAAAATTTATTTGTGGTTTGCAATATTTACAGGCGCATTGATGAGAGCTGTATGCTATGGAAGAGACAGAAAGAGAAAGAGAGCGTTATGAATAAGAAAATAGTAAATCATTCTATTTTATTGCTGAATTGATGATTTGCTTGTTGTTGCTGCTATTAAAATTATTGTATTAATAAATTATGCATTTATTTTCATTTATGAATATTTGATAAACGTTAACTATTTACCTACATGCATACACACTTATATAATATTCGTAATTGTGTTACGTAAAGATTTATGTTTCCATGTTTGCTGAGGCGAAAATCACAAGCCAAACTCATAAATTCTAAATGACAAATCGCAGCGGCGAGGAAAAATGACGAATATGCAAAACAATAGTGTAAACAAGTCAACGGTGAAGAATTCAATGCCAGCAAACGCGTGATTTTTGTAAAACAAGAGCAAAAATAAATCAGCAGTTAAATCAGCACAGTGAAGTGGAAAAATGGAAAAGGAGAGAAAAAAAATATGAATACTAAAATAAAAATTTCAGTATTTACGCTTCAAATCATTTTTTAAATGTTTGAATGCATTTAAATATTCACAAAGGTCCATGAGCAGTACAAATAAATATATAATTGTTGTTATTGTTCTATAATAGAATCATTGTTTAGAACATTGATTTTATTAAATTTTTAGTTTGTAAATATATTAAAAATCACTTAAAATAACAATATATATGACATGGTGTAAACGTGGTATTATATTTACCAAAGTCATTTAAAACATTGTGTTGTGAAAAGATATTAAAAAATGAAGAAATAAAATAAATAATAATAAGTTAAACTAACCAAATTTGTTACAAAGTTTAAACACGACATTACATTTTTATATTACTAGAAATTTCAATATTTTTAAATTATGTTGCTGAACTGGATATATTGAAAGCCGTTTAAAACATTGAGTTTTAAAAAAATTATGTGCACAACTTACTTTTATATCAAAAATCCCCAAAATTAACAAAATTTATTCTATAGTGTAAACAAGGCATTATATCAGTTCATTAATACAGTTTATAATATCATAATATATCTATATATATAATTCTAAACAGAAAAATGTGTTAAATTGTACAGAACGAGCAAATTTTTAGAATAGCTGCTGAACCTACATACATACGGTTTTTCATGTTCAAAGTAGAGATATTTTGAAGAGATATTTTGAAGAAGTCCCAATTAAATACTGGTCAACGCTGACTTTCTATTGGAAATTTAAATATATTCGTGCGTTTTTATACCCATAACAGGGTATATTAAGCCCGCCAAGAAGTTTGTTACACCCAAGAGGAAATATACGCGAACTAGTCCCTCAGTTTTTGAGAAATTTTGCGCACGTCCTTTTTTCCCACAAGAAGCTGTTCATTTGTCGGAACCGTTGATATCGGATTACTATAGCATATAGCTGAACGATCAAAATCAAGTTCTTGTATGAAAATATTTTTATTTGTGAAGAGTACCAAAGTTAACGTTTTTTTATATTTATTTTAAAGCTCATTCCATACCAAAAGAACTGCACCAGCTTGGCGTCAAGAACGAATCAAGCCAATTTTTGATTAACTGTTTTGAACCGTGCAATAATAGACCTCCGGAACAAATGATACTCAGGAAAGGCAAGGTCTGGGCTATAGAGCAGATAAGGTAAAACTTGATGGTCGCTGTTTTCAAATAATTTTTAACCGGCCTTGCAACATGAGACCGAGTGTTGTCATGATGGAAAATTATTTCCTTGTGTCTAGTCGGGAATTCCCGGTATTTTTCGGCAATCGATGTCTTTAATTTGATGAGTTGTTGTCGGTGTTTCACCCAGTTTAAGATGCGCATAATATAGTATACCCTTCTAAGTACAAAGCAATACCTTGGCGTCAGGGATATTCGGCAGCTCCGTCGATTTCGGTGGTTAGCCAGGATTCCCATATGATTTTTATACTCTCGCAACTTGTTGCTACAGAGTATAATAATTTTGTTCACCTAACCGTTGTTTGTATCGCCTAAAACTAATCGAGTTAGATATAGGGTTATATATGTATATATAAATTATCAGGATAAAGAGACGAGTTGAAATCCGGGTGACTGTCTGTCTGTCTGTCTGTGCAAGCTGTAACTAGAGTAAACATTTATATATATTATATTTACGAAACTTTGTACACATGTTTCTTGGTACCGTAAGACGGTTGGTATTCCAGATGGGCGTAATCGGATCTGCTTAACCGATTTCAACCAAATTCGGTACATAATATTTCTATGTTACAGTAGTTATAGTACGAAAATGGACGAAATCGGACTACAACCACGCCTACTTCCCATATAACACCATTTTAAATTCCATCTGATTCTTTCACTTTCCACTATGCATATCAAGCAACAATGATTATATCGGCGTAAAACTTTGCGTGAATAATACGTTTAAAGTATGCCCCCTTGTGACCAAAAATTATCTAAACTGAACCGAAACTGTACCTAGGGCTTACTGAATATGTGGACCCCAGTGCCTATAGTTGACTTTTTACCGAAAATATCGGTCAACATAGAACAAGGCGGCAAGATCCACAAAGAAATCTAAAACGAGTATACCATTTGAATTTGCGAGAGTATGAAATGTTCGGTTACATCCGAACTTAGCCCTTTAGGGTTGTCGTACTGGATCTGTTTTTAACGACTCCATTTGGAATTATGATATCATCATGATTAAATATAATATTCAATATATTCAGTGCTTCATAGCATACATTTTCCATAATATAGCTCGTAGTTTTCAATTCATATCAACTATAACTTCTCTTCCAACCAACCAGAGCAACAGAACAGTTCATCCCGAGAATACGCTTCACGAAAATCCTGATTTCTAGTACTGCTTACTGATGATATCTCTCTCTAGAGGCTCCATTTCAAATCTATAATGTTGATACTATATAAATATTTGCTAGTTTGCTTCGTCCGGGTATAGTTCTCTATCTCTTCAAATCTATACACCTATCCCATTAAGGAAAGCTTTCATACCTGCATTAAATTTCTAATGAAAGCCTTAACAAGCTTTTACCAAAAGCTCTATTGCAGTATAACCTTTATATCAGCTCATGATTTAAATTTGTATATTTATTTAATGAAACCATATAATTTTAATAAATTCCGTGACAAATAAAGTAAAAAAGTTAAATTTTTTATCCACATTTTTAAAATGTGCCAAAAGAATTAGAGAATGCTTATCTACATTGGCAAAATCGGAAAGCTGTCATTGTCGTCGAATGCTTTATGGTTTTGTTGATGTTGTTTTGACTTCTCTTCGATGCATTGCGGCAGCCAGTTTTCTTCAAGGGCACACAAGTGCACTAAAGAAGTTGCAATCCGGATGCAGGTAGCAACACACATAAGTACTTGGTATAAGCAGAATAGCTTCCTCCAAAGCGTCGCACTAAATCCATAACATTTTGCACTTCCTTTTCAACGCAAGCAAACGCAAATATTTCAAGGTTTCTCGTTGTTTGTGCCGACTTGGCAAAATACTTGAAAATATATTGTCATATTGTCGTGGAAATTGAAGAAGATTTATGGTTAAACTTGTAAAGTGAATGTAAACAATAACACGTTAAAGCGTGTGACCTTTACACCTTGACTTTTTTGCAAAGAATTTTATACTTTCATTGAAAATAACAAATAGCATGAAAAATTGCGCATTTGTCTTATCTGATTAAGTGAAAATAATTTCTCTGGGGGTTAAAATGTCAATGCCTTTCACTTTGAACTAATATTGAATGCAATTCATAGCCTGTAAAATAACAATTTATAAGTCTCCTGGTTGTTTTGGTGATATCGGATAAAAAGCTTTAAGGTTTGTAGTGTTCAAGAGAAAGTTATTGAGAAACTTTACGACCCTTATACGATATGAAAGGAGCTGGTAAGTAGTGATCTAGAATATTTAGTAAAATCTATTTGAGGTTTCTTCAGCTCCAGAGTTCCACTATACCCACATCCTAACATAGCTGACCTAAACCTGAGTCCAGAACCTCCACAGAATTTAATATGGTCATGGTAATAGTAAGTGACTTTGATCAACAAGGTTTTGTATTTATTGATAACTTATCCATGAATAACTTGGGCCCCATAAGTTTTGGTCGCAAAATTCCGGTAAATTTATTAATGGGTAAAGTTTGTAATATCCTGTATTTACAATATAATTTCAGGATCCTCA